TCCTCCGAACCGAAATTCATCGGGCGCTGGCGCACCACGATGTCTGTGGAGAATTTTTGGCGCAACCTCAAGCACGAAACCCTGCACCATTACGTCCATCCTCGCCTCGATCAACTCATTTATCTCATAGCTACTGAGGTGCTGCCTTGCACCGAAGCCAAGATGCAGATCTTCGAATCCGACTTCCGTCCTGGCCGCGCCAAAGCGCTAACACCTTTGCGCAAGGCATTCAAAAAGCGTTGGCTCGAGCTAGCGTCACGGCCCGCTCCAAGAAGAGTCTACAACACAGATCTATCGACCTGGACATGCGACTGCGGACAGCAAAAATATAGTCCCTTCCTCCTCTGCAAATGTCTTGTCCAGGCAGTTGAACCACCCGACCCCGACTTCTTTCGGCAGGTTGTCCGTCGTCGGGTCATCCCATTCTACAGTCATCGACTCCTTCGTCCGAAGGATGGATCCGATCTCCCTGTTGTCGACTCAGGATCCGTTTCCGACGGTGACGACGCCACGGAGGTCCCTTCTGTTCCTGCTTCACCTCGAGGCGTGAAGCGGAAGAGGACTCTACCTCAAGCTGCAGCATCTCCTCCCCCACACTCCGGTTCGTGGATCGGGGAGTGGAGATGACCCTATCCTCTTATCGTCGTCGCCTGTCGTTCCTGACGAGGAGGAGGATGTATGTTCTCTTTTGTTTCTTTCTATACCTGATTAAATTCTTGCGCAGGATTCCAGCGTGGAGTGGGTAAAGAAAAGCATTGTGGATGCGGAAGCAGCCCTTGAAGTTCTGAAGACCCAGGTGAAGTACCCACGAGAGGCCAAGGTCTTTCTCAAGTCGATGAAAGACCACAATGTGGGTGGAGATCTTGTTGCAATGGGCACCGATGTGCGTCGATTCACGGAGACAGCCACCGTCCGAGCCACAACATGGGGTACAACTCAGAAGCAGAAGCCAAAGAGACCCTCAGCTCGGTTCACACGGAACACCATGGGCCTACATATTCCTTAGTATATTTTGTCTGAACTTTCTCAAACGATGGGTGACCAATTTGTTTCGTTCCTAATGATCCGGGGGGCCTCAAGCTAAGGGTTGTTAGATGGCAAAATCTGCTGGAATACATCTTAAGAATATTTAGAGACCCCAAAACATTATGCAAGAGTCTTTCCGCAGTGGCGGGAACGGCAAAAAGATTTGGGTGATAGGTCACGTGCCGCGTGGTTCAGCCGTCAAAAGAACATGGGGGGTCCCATGGAAATATTTCAAAAGTGGGTCATTGATCTTGACAAATACGAGCAGTGACACCCTCCTCAAGGTTTATCAAAATACCGGATGAATATGGGTGTAGGATTTTTCAAACGGGCACACGGGACTTGAGACAAATTATGTATATTTAAGGAAAAACTGTCTTCTAAACTTCGCCCAGCACTGCCATCAATGATCTCAATGGCAACGAGGGTGCAGTAATGGGCGGGAGGTGAATGGGAGTCGTAAATTGGCCGTGAAGGACTTGTCGGTTGTCGCCCAAGTGCTAAGCGAGACGTGGGAGATCACCATCACGGCCATCAAACTGCGCGCCATCATTGGGGGGATAGCGTTTTCTGGTTACTGCTTGTTGGGCATTAGGATCCAGATATTACACGACCAACCAACATCTAGCTTGCATGTGACTTCCATCACTGTTCGCACTACGTCACAGACTCCGCTCTGGCGACCAATACAGCGACAGGGCTTCCCTTGCGACCGTTCTATGCCGATGAATGTCTGCGTACCATACTTGCTGGGCTAGATTCCAAATGCCAGTGTACGCCACAAGTACGCCACCGGGTGGCGGGCTCGACTCGACTGTAGGCTTTGACACTGGGCTGATCCAAATCGGGCTTGAATGAAGAACCGTATCAACGCGGCACAACGCCGTCGTGCGCCGCGCATTGTGCTATGTTAACCTTTGGCTTGTAGACCGTTTCCTAGGGTCGAAGTCGCTCGAATACATCCCAAACCATGGTGCGTTTGTCAAATATGGACAGTTGGTCGAAGAACTTTCACCCGGGTGGCACTCTTCTACAATGTTGGCGCGCATTCTATGGTACTCGGAGTGCTTTGGTGTGACCTCCTCCGCCGTCGATTCCCACGCCGTTGAGCTCTGACAAGTTTCCAGTGACGAGCCAACAGTGAAATTTGAATGGATCCAAGTCTAGGTCTCGAGCTCCATCTACTGGTTGAACTATTCGAGTTTTTCGGTGAAAAAACTGTTAAAATTTGGTTTGGATTTTACACCAACTTTTTCACAGAAAATTCCAGCGAGAAATGGGAAACATCTTAGTGAATTTTTCGAAGTTCAACAAGAATTCACCGTTTTTTCACCAGAAATTCACAAGATTCGAAAAAATCACAAAGACCTTTCAGGTTTTTCGCTTCAGTGAGTCCACTGCCTGTTAGATCGTACCGTGGCTCACTTAAGTGGTCGGCGAGTGCAGAAGTGGAATGTTCTCGGGCGCTCAAAACCTCGTGCTTACTGGCCACACGTTGCAAAATATAACCTATGCTGCTCCTACTGGGCCCTCCGGTGCGTTCTCCTCCTGTTCGTTGCGAAAAGCCTACAAGGTGAACAGATTACCGGACATTCCCGCTGGGAGATATCGATCTCCAGCAAGAAATCTGCCTCGACAATGACACGGGCATTGTGTCGCAGCGTCGACGGGCAGGAGATCGTCAGGTGTATTCCGCCTGAGTTAACGGTCAACAGTTACGGTTGCGATGTATCAGGGTGACGGCGCGGCGGAGGTCCATCAATTCCTAGTCTGCCATCGAGCCTCCCTGAACATTTTTCCAGAAGTGGCAGCGGGAAATCGAGACATGCATATCGATCCGGTGAGTTCGAATCTAACACTGCGTTGCACGGTAGGCGCTAAGTATCAACGGAAGTCATCCAAATGTTATTCAGATATATGGAGCAGCGAATTGGGGCGATATACATGCTACCATCTTCCACGGCGGTATGTCTTGCATCAATTGTGTTGCTGGAAGCTGAATGCAAGCAGATTTGCTGCCCTTCAAACATTTCATGGATCTGTACAAGTCTGTAAGGAATTACAACCTCCGTGCCACTATCTTCAACACCACTTCAGGAGGCAACCTCTTATTGTAAGCAAGTCGGACGATCAACCTCGGACCGAGATGAGTGGACGCTGTGGATTCGTCGCCCAACAGCCCGGCTCTGCGTGGATCTAACGTGCCCACACGAGCCTCCTTGACACTGGCACCTCAGGCCGCGGTATATCTGACTCTGCGGCAAGGGCCCTCCTCTCCGGAAATACACTCATGATGGAGGCCCTGGCAATTCACGCGCTCGCACTAGATGTCTTTCATGACGGGTGCCGTGCGATGCTCTGCAAACCCAGATGTATCAACTTTCCCGCCGGTATAACCATACATCTGGGAGTGCTCAGTGTACGGCCCTCAAACAAGCGCTTCCTAGAGATTGCCTGACTACCAGAAGCGGCCGTACATGATTATAGTTTTTTCAATTGGCGAATCCTGAGAGCTGGGGGACAGATGGGTGAAATTCTCAAGAACGGCTGGACCCGGTATTAAAATCCATCCAGCTCCCAAATTACTTTTTCTGATCGTAGTCTACAAGGTTCAACACCCACGATGTAGTCGACTGTAGTATTTGGACCAATCCTTCCGTAGCGTTTCGCCATTCATGGCTCAGCCAATCGAATCACATATTCAAACGCTGCCAGATTACGTCGAACTTTGAGGATTATGGTACACCTTTTGCCTACTACTTTTGGATGAATTTCTAACTGGGCGGCCCAGTTTTAATTCACCTGGTAGACTTCTATGTCGGCATATCAACGAAGCAAGTTCCAGCGTGATTTTTGTTCCTCTGTCCAGCGGAGGATCTTTGCACTGGGCCGATATCTTTCCGCTGGCCGGCTTGCCCAGCATATTGGGCCCTCGACCCATCGGGCGCTAACGCTCTCAGTATGGAGGAATCTAATCGGCTTGGATTTCCAACGCTGCAATTCGGCGCGACAGCTGAAGGAGAGTCCTGGGATTCTGGCGTATATGCTGCACTCCGTAAGTTCCATCAAGCCAAAGGCTTCGACCCGTACAGCCAGGATGTTGCTCGCCACCTTGGGTTACCCCTTTTTCAACCGCCTGTCGCCATCGATCCTATATTCGCTCATGGCAAGCCCATTCCCACTGAATGATCCGCATGCACCACTGATATGTTCTGTCAGTTGGCGAGGAGCAAGATGAGTCGGACGAAGATGAGGATTCGGAGGCGGGAATGGATGTGGACTACGACGATGTGGAAGATCTGGACGAGGAGGATGTCATGGAACTCGACTAGTGAGGACGGGTGGTCGGGTGCATCATATCACGGATAATCACGAGGCGCCGATGATCCTAACCCATGTATCCTCGAAATTTCCAGTGAACGACTCGCCTCGACCTCACCACGCTCCATTCTGATTTTCGGAGCACCAGCTCGGACCGTGCCGGCGCTGTGCCATTCGGCGAGATATCGAGTACGTCGGTGCGGTGCCCTGCACGCGAGACATGCAGTCTGCAGATGATGTTTTGTCCCTGCAGGCGATATAACTATCCAACCGAATTTATGCTCGGTGCAGTTTCGGCATTGCGGGACGAGGACCCGCGATTGAACGACTTCTTTCAAAATGCAGACTCCGCTTCCCGAACTTGGAAGATCTTTATATTGGCATTGAGGAGGGTCAGACATGCTTGCTTACCTCCACCGACGTGAAGCACTCCAGATTATGTAAGGGTGTTTAAACTTGTGCCAGTTTTCCAGTTCCGTGAAAATCTCAAAGTTCAAAGTTCTGCTGGCGGTACGGCGGTAGATGGGCCAAGTGTTGGCTGTGTTGGGGTGCGTCTAGTGCATAACTTGTTTCGGCGGTCGGAAGTCGTACATTGCCACAACTTCCATTTTGGTCCGCGACAAAACCCCCAAAAAGTGTCCTGTCTGCAAGAGCTGCCCCTGCAAGGTTCGAACTTCCGATCTCACGATGAATGCGAAAATTTGCACTTGGTATAACAGTCGTGCGCCTTCACCAACTGGGCCAAGGGGCAGTGGGAAAGGGTCTTCAGACTGTCTGACTAGTACACAGGCAGCAGTGCCTCGGGAACACTTCAAGGATACGTTTGGTTCGAGAAGAGGGGGCCCGATACCAATGGCGGTGGGGTAAATAAAGAAAGTAAACAAAATAAATCGCAATAAAAGTGCCGAAAGTTGCCGGCTATCTGGCTTACTTCAGCTTGGTATTCCGATACTGTTCCAGCACATTCAGTCCCTTTGCCTCTCCCCTTCAAATTTGCGACTTTGTGCAATGATTTATTCCAAATTTTTCTAGCTCCTCTGAATCAGTATCGGTCGACAGGGTCCCGAGAAAACAATAAAATGGCGGTAGTTTTCCGATACCACTCCGCTGGTTGCCGGCGGAGTTTAGCTCGGATCAGACGGCACATTTGGCTGCTTTCGGGGTTTTCGTTCAATCTGGTTGTATTGGCTGAGTCTTTTTGTATGAATACATTCACATTCTATGGACCATCTAGGAGTGTCTTCTGCTTTTCAAATTCGAAAAATCCTGCCTGCCAGCAGCAACTTGGTTGCCTTTATGATTTCCAATCACCTCTATCAAATTCACGGCGGCACCAAATGGACACTCCAACTTGGTACTGAGTGGCGTCCAGGGCCTGAAAAATGCATGAGCTGGTTTAATGCTGTGGTTCAATTTGACTACATGGTCTGTTTACTAACGGATGAGCAGACACATTTCACTTCTCTCGTCTTTATCCTGAGTTGTATGTTCAATAACTTACTCTCCATATGCCAGACACTAAAGTATGAGAGAGTGTGTCATTGATTCTCTCTAAGCCTCATTCATGTTACTTGGAGGCAAATTAGACCAAAAACACGATGCAGAATTGCCCATTCTGGACTGTGAGAACTGGAATTGAGGGCCACCAGAAGAATGAAAAGCTCTTGCTTGCACCAGAGTCGTGTGTGTGTTATTTGGCCCACTGAAGCAGGGTCAAAAAGTGAAAAAAGCGGCAGAAGCAATATGTCGCGAGCCGTGAGGCTCGAACTCGTGAGCATCATTGCTGGCTGACGAAGATTTCAAACTCCGCCGGTATTCCGATACTGGTATCGGACACCGCCATGAGTATCGAGCCCACCTCCCCTCTTCGGGAGGTGAAACCCGTTAGGGAAGGACGCTAGAAAACGTGGTTGAAAGTCAGTACAAACCAATGGGTACCAAGTGAAGACAGTACAACTCATCCAATAATTCTTCCCTCCAGCATCCTACGGAAATGCCTATCCGAGGTACCTATTTATTACTGAACCAAGTCTGTGGTAACACGGAAATACCTCCCGAGTATCATGACAGTCATTCCGACTGAATCTCATTATACCAAACGCTCCAAAAAAAAAAAAAAAAAAAAAAAAAAAATCATGACAGTCATTCCTGCGGTATTTGCCGGATATGTCAGTGATATGTCGCCTGGCATGAAGATCGGAAGAGGATCATGATCCCGTTCCGTATCAACTTCTATTCCCAGGTCATGCCAAGCTTGGGTAATGCGTATAAAGCTCTGCGATCCCGTTGCCATGGACGTTTTGCTTTCCCCCACTTGCAGGCAAGATCGTTGACATGGTAGGCTGCTATGGTGGGAGGTACGAATTGTATCGCTGATTTCTACCGCCATTCCAGCAGGTGATGTCATTTAATTCGATTTCGGTGCTAGTCACCCTGATAGCTTCGTTGGCTGGTCTGTGTCTTTGAATATTCTCCTATCCGTGTACTCACGCATATTTGATAGGTTCTACTTTGGCCCAAGACGGGGACAGTGTGACAGAGGTTACTTTGTGGCAATTCGGCCAGGGGCGCTTGCTGGCAGGGCAGGCCACCCTCCCATTACAGCCTTTGGCCACGGCAAGCGACGGATCTGCAACAATGTACCTCTATCAGGTTCTCAACCCAGCGACCATCACCACTATCATCGACGGTAGTTTCACCACTCAAACTATGCCGTCCGCAGGTAAGCAGCTGTCTTCCTGCCCCACAGCATTCCACTGATGGACTTATTATTGCAGCTTCGCGAACCCTAATCGCCTCTGCGTCAGGATGGGTCGAACCTTTCGGAACTACCAATGCCATTGCGTGCCAACTTGTGAATTCAAAGTTCGGGGAATGTTTTCAAGGCACTGGTACGGCCCCTGCAAACAGCGGTGTGCCGACGCCTGAAAGATTCCGAGTCGCGTTGCCCTCCGACCCAGGTGAGCACCTTCCCAGAGGGGTACAACAGCGTGACACTGACCCCCAACCTGCAGCTACCTTAGGGCTAGCTACGACCCCCACAACGGGCCCGACCCCAGCGAAGCACTCATCATCAGTGGGGCCCATCGTTGGCGGTGTGATAGGTGGAATCTTCGCGCTTCTCTGCCTCACCGTGTGCATTTTACTTGCGTGGCATCGACGGCGCCAAGTACAAGAAGTTCAAAAAGAGATAAGCCCGCACGCCTTCAACGCCTTAACCTCCGGCGCGGTTTCTTTCGCAGCGGCTCCACAACTAGAAGTCGGACAAGGGAATCCGCGGCAGAAAGGAGACCGACCCAGCTCAGTTCACCGGCTGCAGACAGACGAAGAACAGGCGCCTCCTGCGTACGTACCCGGACAACGACTTTTCGTTAGGTGATTCACAGAATGTCGCATTTTGCGTTGATGTTAGCAATTATTCAATGTTTGAACTCGGACATATTCAACACGATACTGATGGCGACCTCACTCCGCCAGGTACCCGTGGACAAGGTTTGGTGAGGAGTGCAGTCGAGCCCGTTCGAAGAGAGACGCCCGCGCAGCGGAAAATCTCTATTCCGTACATACGAATTTGTGGGACTTACACAAGATGCAAAAGCCATCGAGGTTGCGCTGCATGGAGTGTGAGTTCGGTGTTCAAAAGTGAAACCGAAGCCCTCGGATCTGCAGTGAAGGTCGTGGCAATATATTCATCGAATCGTCTCAACATTTCAGTCACTGCGTCTCGGCTTCGTCCAGGTAATATTCGAGAGCTTGAGAAACCAGAGGTAATTAGCAAGGTCGTATGAACCAGACGCGTAAAGGAACATGAGCATACGATTGATTTCTCTGGATTTCCGCTTCTCGATGAACCCCTCTGCCCGGAACCAAAAGTCTCGACCCGTGTGCGCCCCGTGGATCCAGTCCTCGATATACTTCGAGCACACGAGAACCACAAACCGGAGGTCGCACCGCAGACCATTTTGATTTGTGCTGTGATGGAACGCATCATTAGGGGGAGAGAGCAGTGCAATGCAGAGCACCCTGAGTGAAGGGCAGATGCGAAGAAGAACGCGGCACATGGGGATGAATCCGCCCCCGTTGAATGCCAGATGGGTCAGACGGGGAATTTGGGCGAGGCCACCCCAGACATCCTCATCGACAACAGACGGCAAGTCAAATATTTCGAGGTGTGTGATGTGAGCAAAGAACGAGTGCCCAAAGTCGACAAGGTTGGCGTCAGGCCCGAAAAGCGTTTCCACTGCGGCGTGGAGGCGTTTCAACCGCAGATCGCCGAAGCGGGCGACGAGGTGCGGAGACGAAGCAGGTGCTGTGCAAGTTATCCAAAGATTTTCGACGGCCGCACAGGTGGATAGGACAACGGTCTCTTCTTGGATAGCGAGATGAGATAGCAGTATCTGGCGCACTGTATCATGTACAAAGGTTTCCCGCGCGTGGATGATGGAGGTGAATGTGCCACTCTCGATGGCCCGAATATGGATACCCGACTTGGCGAAGTTGGCGTGCAGACGCGGGCGGTGATCCGCTACGACGATAGTTCTGTACAAAAACGGTTCTACCCTGCATATAGGCAAGAGGATCTCGTTAATATTGATAGACGGACAGTACCAATCGGAAACGAACCATATCTTTACTCGCCATGCCACCAAAGCAAGCTGCGGAATCGAGCGAGGCGCAGAGGCAGCAGCGACTTCGAATATCACTCGCTCCAGCTCGGGGGGGAACACGAATGATTCGGGGGAGCCATCGGAGAGCATCGTGGTAAGGATACCAGTGTGCCTAGAGGCTGGGTCAGCTCGTTGATGGTGGTATGGTGGTGGATGAGAAGAAGAGATGCTGCGTGACGTGACTCAGACACGGGTCTGATGCGGTTCGGCGATTGCCGTGCCTTTGATTCGCTCTTCGTTCTTGAGAACCAGCTGAGAGCGTCAGAGAAGGCCACAGCGTCAAACACAATTGTACACATGGATGGTAATACAGATTTCAGACACTGGTTCCTTACTAGTAATACATTCGTTCAGGTCCGCGAAAGTGACCAGAAAAAAAAACTCACCACAAAGTACATTTCATCCCTCTGGTTCGCATGAGGCACCTGGAAAGCGGCGCGGAAGGCACTCAAGTCCTTATCGGCTTCGAAGGGCGAGCCTTGTTTGGCGTCCGGCGCGCCGCCGACTGTCTTGGGGTCAAAGTGAATCCCCCGGCGCTCACACACCCGATGCGCATCTGCGAGTGAGACGTCGATGATAGAAGAATCAATGGGAGATGATATGGCGTACAGTATACAGGAGCCGGAATCGACACAGCGGAAGGAGAGCGGGCGTAGACATGACAGAGGGCAAATGATAGAGCCTGGATTTGGTCCGGCCTGCAATTACGGTTAGACTTGACAGTTGGGTGAAGCCGTGCGTGAATGAAGATGCTCGCGTGAGATTGTTTTCCTACAGGACAATAAAAGCTACTGTCATTGTCCCAATCGAGGGTAAAAAGCAAGAGCAACGAACGTCATACAAAACCTTGATGCGGGTCAGCGGGAGCACCCTATGTCCAAAAAACGCGGAGACTCACGGAATAATGGGCAGGTCGACCGGTCCCGCGCATTCTGAAGGAACTGTGGCTTTGCAAAAAAAAATCTAGATCCGTCGGGTGTACCACGTCGCGGTCGATGACAGTCCCAGATTGGCAGTTGTCCTTGCTGTCAAAGAATCTGAACCAAAACGTCAGTCCGGCGTATATGGCGATTGCCTAGGCTCA